TAGATGCGAAATAAATAATAATAGCCCTTAAGGTATAATTTTACATTTAGCCATTACTAACACTTATGGTTGCTAGTACTAGTGGAATAAAAGGAAGGGGCATATTCCTAATCGAAATAAAGTCGACTCTAAAGATAGTTGCCCTGTTTTTTTGTCAGATATTCCATTGAAAATTGCGTCAATAAGCTGCCTGACTATGAATATGCCTTATAGTTTTTATCATCGTTAACTTGCAATTATTATTAAACAATTGCCGCACAGATCTTGCTACTGCATAATTATTGAATCATGTTGCTACTGTTTGTTTTATTAATTATTTGCATCAAAAGCCGCATGTCCTGTTTAACAATTTTCAACATGTACCTCACGATAAATGACATCGATAGTTCCTAACATTGTTGACTATCGCGCACTGCTGACTACGCCCATTCCTAAGAAAATATTTTTCTGATTGGGTTAAACACTTTAATAATAAATTTTTTCGGCTACAAGTAATCACAGTATATACTGTGCAAGTAATTTTGCAGTGCAACAAGACGGTCATTATGTAATTTATTTAAGCTTCGTTCTAAAATTAACCAGGTTCCATTCAAATAAGCAAAAGAAAAGCCACTAAAACACCTGTTAAAGTAAGATAAACATCAAAAAAACGACGACGAAGCCACTTGTTGGCTGTTTAGTGTATGTGTACATGCTTGCGTACATATACTCGTACTTACAACCCACCGGCCAGTTCAGCAGTAGATTTGCTTCCGTGTCAGTGGGAAAAAATATATCATAGGCTCTGAACCGTGAAAAAATTAATAAGCTGCAATATGTCGTTTTTAAAATCATATTTGGCACTATTGTTTCTACTCAGCGTCGCAGTATTTGCAAACAAGCAAGGCGACTTCCTTGTCGGTCGGAATGAGGTATTTATGTATTAAAATTTCCGAATTCTCTAAATAACAAATTGTAATAATCTGTCTTATAGTATAAACAGTCATAAACCTACCCATAATAATCTAAACTAACTTATTCATCCGGCTGCTTTCAGATGGAGTATCGCGCAGGAGAGCTATCCGAAACGGATTTCTTAAATTTAGGTCAACTTTCGGATGTACCGCACTTACGTAAAACCGTTAAAAATATACTTATACCCCGCGTTGTTGGCACACCTGGACATGCTTTAGTGCACGAGAATATAACAAAGGAAATGCAAGCACTTAACTGGACTGTTGAGATTGATAAATTTCATGAGACAGTGCCACTTCTCGGAAAAATTCATTTCAAAAATATCATAGCAAGACTTAATCGAGATGCAGAGCGCTACTTAGTGCTTGCGTGTCATTACGACAGCAAATATTTTGAAGAATTTGAATTTCTTGGTGCAACGGATTCCGCTGTACCATGCGCAATGTTACTTAATTTAGCACATGTATTAAAAAAAGAGCTTGAACCCTTTCGGAAAACAAAACTCAGTTTGATGTTTATTTTCTTTGATGGTGAAGAAGCTATTAAGGAATGGGGTCCGACTGATTCAATTTATGGTGCACGACATTTGGCTAAGCGATGGGAAGAGGATGGCACAATAAACTCACTAGATATGTTGGTACTTTTGGATTTAATCGGTTCAGCTGATCCTACTTTTTATAATTTCTTTGCCAACACGGAGGCATGGTACTCACGTTTGGTAGATTTGGAAGAACGTCTTTCAAATGTAAATATGTTGGACCGTTATATAAGCAGCGGTGTGTCACGTCAATATCCAAATCGATATTTTCAACCGAACACATTAAGGTCATCATTTGTTGAGGATGATCACATACCATTTTTAAGGCGTAACGTACCTATATTGCATCTGATAACAATACCATTCCCAAGCGTGTGGCATACGAAAGATGACAACGAGTCGATAATTGATTATACTGCCACGGAAAATATATCACGCATTCTTCGCCTATTTACTATGGAATACTTACTTGGCGCAATTGAGGATAATAGAGATAAACATACATAGAAATAAGCTAAAAAAATCAATGGGAAAGTGCAGTGTAGTATATTAGTAGCAATAACCTATTTGATAGTGTTTCTAACTGATCAGCACTATTATCTATTTAATTAATTTCCAAAAGTTTAGGGGAAACACATATGTGCAAACTGCACATACAATTATACATACACAGATGTGTACCTATATACATATACATAGCTACTAAATAATAACATACGTACAAACAGCGCGTTTGCGGCCTACGTTAAATAATTTGTATATATTGTTATACATATCAGATGCTTGTTTGTTATAAAGTAATTAACTGTAAAATTGTATAAAAGTTCACTATACATATTTACATGTATGTATGTAAGCTTAAGAAAGAGCCAAATGCCAAGCATTTATTTTAAAATCAGATACCTACATAATAAAAATATTTGACAGATAATATAAAGAAACAACCGGAAATGTTTACTTTATCAATCGACGGTCTCAAAAAGAACCAAAATCATTTACCCCTATATATTTATTGAGCGAAAATGGCTCGTATGATATTGCAAAAATAAATTTCATGATGATCGGTTCTACATTAATAGAGCGTTCTGACGAGATACGACCAAGGATCATAACACACCCCGAACCCTCAGAAGGAAATGATACAAAAACATTTCCATCAACTAAAAAAAAATCAAGACGAATTTTTTGCATAAAGCGAAGCGCACATTGGCGCGATTCTGTCGTTGCGAATACGTTGCGAATTCGGCTGTTAACTTCGAATCCGCAAACGTGCGCACACTTGAGCGATTTTTTCGCGTCGATTTCCGATGTACAATTCACTAAATTTTCCCTTTATTTCGTGTATTTTCGCACTCGGCGTGCCCAAATCGTACAAAATACTATTATTACGAACGTTTTTATTAGTTTTTGTATATTACACGTTTTTTTTTCTTTGCCTTTATTGCTGTGACACCTTTCTTTTTCTTCTTTGACGCCTTCAAAACGCTGCAAGCCGCGTTTCGAACGCGTCAATAGAGAACATTGAATGATCGAAAAATTCGCAGCGACGGAATCGTGCAAGTGTGCGCTAGCGCATTAAAATGTATGGGTAGCATTGTTGTAATTTTTGGGCTTGCGGATTCGCAACGACAGAATCGCGCCAATGTGCGCTTCGCTTAAAACAATTCTGAAGACTTGTCTCCAAGTAATGCAAATATTTTTTTTTCTTCATGATTATATATATATACCTGTTTTTGTACGATCGACAAGCAGTTATATTTGCGGATTTTGTTTTTAAGTTAGCTCACTTTAGATATAGGTGTGCGATATTATTTTGCCCGCAGATTTTCATCCGGAGCAAGGATATATATCAGGATTTTTGAGAGTTGGTCACTGCCTACATATAACGATTTTTACCTTTTTAACATCTCCAATAAGCGAAATTTTCACATCACTAGAAAATTTCCATATGTTTTTGACATTTCGAGTTCGTTGATGCTGTAACAAATTTAATTTTGCGCTGAAGGAATTTAGTTAAAATTAATTAAAAATATGATGCTTCTGCTGCGTAGGACTACCTCGTTGAGTATACGGTAAGTTGTATATAATAACAAGTCATAATTGTAGGAATTTGTCTCATAAACTCACCTGCCAACAGAGTTCTCACATCGCGTGTAGTCGGTGCACGCAAATACAGCAGAGATTACGATTCGTCGGACGATGAGAAGGAACCAAAAGCAAAACAAAAGAAATCTAAGCATGATAACAGAAGTGAAAGGAAATCTGCGTCTACACCAAGTACGACCGATGGCGGCTCCGCCGAAGAGCCAGCCGTCACACGCCTCAATCGTTTGTTGGCCAGTATGCCCACAGAAAATACCTATTCATTGACCAATAAAAACAATGTAATATTACCGCGCCCAGGAGAAGCACATAAAAAACGAAAAGAGGCATCGAAGCAAGAAAGTGCGTCTAAAGATATATTTGTTGCTGCTAAACGTGTAGCATCTCTAGCGGGAGATGGAGAACAAAAACAGCAAGTGGAGTCAGAGTTGTTAGCTAAATTACTAGGCCATAATCAAGAAGAAAATGTTGAAGGCGTAACTAGTGGTGATGCACCAAAGAAACCAGTCGCCGAATTGAGTTTAAGGTAAATTGTATACGTATAGGAAAACAAACAGCAATTTAATGCTTAAAATGTTTAATTATACCTCTTAGCGAGCTAATTGTGGGCATGAAAATCGATCGTACTAACCAGCCCAAAGAACAAAGTCGTGGTGAGTTTGTGCGCCGTGCTATAGAAGCGAAGACGCAGAAGCAACAAGGACAAGGCCGCTACAATAACAACAACAACAACAAGCAACAAGGACAACCGCCTAGTGCGCGTAAAGAACGAATACGTGAAGCAGCTACTTACACTGGTAGCGTAAACCTGTTTGGATCTCAACCACTCGGCATTTTTAAAAATAAAGACAAACTACAAGAGTCCCCCGACATGCTTAGCACCTGGGCACACTTGCAGCAAAACGAACTAAAATTACTAGTAACACATCCACCAGCAAACTACCTTGAAAAGTTAATACTTTGGACAGAGCAAGGGAAAGTATGGCACTTCCCCATCGACAACGAGCAAGACTTGCACGATGAAGTGAATGTTGACTTCTCTGAGCACATTTTTCTCGAACAGCACTTAGAAGGATGGTGTCCAGAAAAGGGACCGATTCGTCATTATATGGAACTGGTGTGTGTGGGTCTTTCGAAAAATCCATATTTAACAGCAAAAGAGAAGAAAGAGCATATTCTCTGGTATCGTGATTATTTTGAGACTAAAAAGGATATACTTAAGGACTTGATTACTCAAGAGAAGAACCAAGGAGAAGTTCAACAGAAGAAAGTGGAAGCTTAGTTTAAGCTGAATGAATGAGCAAAAGTGTTATTATATTTTTGATGCAAGCAATAGTGGAAATATAAGATCTGTTTTAACAAGGAAACCTGAAAACGCTGCTATACTCAAAAGCAGGCTAATTAGGAGTAAGTTTGTCATTGCTAACGTTTAATTTTTTTTCCTTTATTTACTTTGTATAAAATCATTTCAAAAATATGTATTCGCAGTAAGTTAATACTGTTAATTCAAAATTGAACATCTTCGTACATTTTTGGATTGCGTTGTATGTTATCCTCCATGATACGCTTTCGTCCGACTTCCCACTTGTCAAGTCTCTCCAAAATCTCTGGCAGTAATGAACGCAATGTCACACGTGACATCTCAGGACCATCTCGTAATTCAACATTAGTTTTAAAATTATAATTCGGCGTGTAGCCATTCAGTTTAAGGAAATGATCGAAATAGAATGGTACAATTTGCTCTTGTATAGTGTCCATAACAAAGATGCTATCGCGCGCTTCTTGCAAATGCATAACATCACCTTCATCATTGAAGGCGCGGAAAAAGAATTTTGTGTGCTCAGAAACACGTGTTTCCTGAACGACTTTCTTCTTTGGCTTCTTTTTGATTGTGAAGCGTGGTAATTTACCTATACGTTTCGGCCTTATAAAAGGCGGTTCCAAATTGTGACACACCTTTTTCATTTCACTTTCAATACGTTTTTCTACTTGATAAGCTTGTCGAGAGATTTTACGATCATAAGCGCGACGCCGACGAAGCTGAACTTCAGTGCTTAGACTCTCATCGACTGGTATGATTTCGAATTTAGCTGGAAAGGCAAAAAAAGTATGAAATTCATTTTTTTGTTCCATTTTAAATATAAATTGGATTGCGACCCGTTTTTCTAGATACGGTAAATTTCCCAAGATATTTTCTTTTTAAATTTGCATTGCGAATGAAAAATTAAAAATAAATCAAAATCAAACTAACAAGGAAAATGTTACTCATACGTAACGCTCGTATCTTTTTTCGGACAAAAAATACAGTTTTCCAATATAATAAAGAAATTCTTGGTATGATAATACCAGGTATTCCTTTATTGTACACTCGGAGACAAAATGGTGTGTCTTACAAAAGCGATGTAAATCTAAATTTCTCAAAAAAAAATTCAAAAAAGTTGCACAACAACAATATTCTAGTTTGAAGTGTCTTCAAAATATCGTTAATTTTTGGGTCACATGAGTAATGCATTTTTAAAACGTGTTTCCGCTAACACTGTGTATGTATTAAAAAATATAGGCTGGCAAAAAAGTATAAATGCAATATTTCGGAAAAAACCGCAGTATCCATTCTTGGAATCCAAAAATAAGAATTATTCTGTGAAAGAAAGTTTAGATACGAGCGTTACTCATACGCCATGTACGAGTACGACCGTGTACGATATGGCGTATGAGTAACATCTGCTCCTTTTTCATACAAAAAAATTATTGCACATTTTCATTTGACCATTCACAACTTTTTTATTTATCCATCGATTTTCATCGTTAGGAGCTTAATTTCTTTGTAAAAGAACAAGCTTTAATACAAATAAAAAAAAAGTTTATTTTTTTTATTTTTCCTTAAAGTTTAAATTTTTTTCATAAAAATGAAAATATCTCTTGAAAAATTGTATACAGATCAATAATCTGCCACTCAATATTAAGTTTGCGTGTTTTGACGTTTTTTGTGTCGTTTCAAAACTTAAGAAACTTAGGCCCACTTGCAGAACAGCAGATTATCTATTTAACTCGAAGTTGACCGGTTAAATTGAGAAATTGGATTGCACAAGAGTAGGTTAGACACTAACTCAGAGATAAAAACTTAAATATTTAACCCAGAAAATTTTGAGGGTTAAATGGTTAAGTTTGTGTCAGTTCTGCCGAAAACTAGAAAAACAAATAAAATTAAAACAAATACATAAAAAAATAAATAAATAAATGAAAAGATGGACGAATTGGTGCATTCTGACGATGATGAGGAAATCATTGATTAAGTCAACTCAGATTTCTATAACAGATCAACAGCTGAGCGAAGTGATCATTATAATGCTCTGCGAGATAAAGCATTCCACAGGAGATTTCGCTTGCAAAAGGAAAGCGTTATTTTCCTTTTAGACAAGCTTAAAACGCGGTTAGAATGCTCAAAGAGGTTGGTACTTCCGCTCAATTTATTCACATTAAACAATAAGTTAAGTTTTTATAATATTGTTGCAAACTTTCCATGGTGCGGCAGTATCCTGTGGAAATCGAATTGAATTCCCGCGTCAGCTCTATCCACGCATTTGCTTTGCTAAAAGGCTAGTGCCATCGTTTTTTTATTTTCTGGGATATGCACGAACGAGTTTAGTTTGCGATTCCATGAACAAAACCGGATAGTTTTAACGAGTTGAAACTGCAGTAAAATAACCACAAAAAAATTCAATTCAATGTAATGTAAAATGATGTGTGGTTTTGCATACCTGTAAGAATGCAATTGTCGCTTTGTAAATCCAATGGTGAACAATTAAGCACAAACATATATTTAATATGAAGCAATAATTTTTTTGGTATTTTTTTCTGTTATTGAATGAGCATTTGATGAGCTTTGGGCTATATTATTTTTATTTCAAACATCAAAAAAATGTCAGTATTCAAAACAAATGACAAAAAACGGTTTGTGATGCCAATAAAATTAAAAATTGCCCGACAGTAACTTCGTTTACTTAACTCTGTGTTGATTTTATTTTCTGCAAGACGTTGTCTGAGTTAAGAAAATAGAAGTTTAACTCAGAGCTACTGAACTCTGTATTTATATATTTAACTCTGGATGTTCTGCAAGTGGGCCTTAGAAATTAATTTTTTGAATATAGTTACTTAACCTCTCAAGTGTCATTCTTCTAACTTTGCCCTTTTAAATACCAAAAGTTCATTTTCATTTTAGAAAACTATAAATATTCTTTCTTTATAATAGGATTGGGAGTTCTATCCGGCGACTGTGTTTGCCAATATCTGATTGAAACATCCGGATATCTAGTTAATAAAGTGGTATTAACCGGATTTCCGAATAACAGAAAAGAACCGGATATACGGATTTTCAAACCAAAGATAAAATAAAATAATTGGTGTATTACTGAAGTGCTTTATAATATCCCAGAAAATAATTTAGGTAAGTCTTCTTAAGTGAAGCTATTCTAAGAGGCCTACCCAAGAAGGGCTGAAAAAAGTTCTTCCTTGCATGCCTTGTAGAAGGGCTTATTCATTTACAATTTACGCGAATGCATAAATTTATATTATTTAGCATTACAAAAGAATTTCAATAAACATTTTAAGTTGCAATAAAACATATTTGATATAAACCATAAGCAAATAGCTCAAAGATGTATGATTTTTATAAATTAAAGTGGCAACTTTAAAAGAACTCCTCCAAAAGGTCTTCCGAAGTACGTCCTATAAAAGCCCTTCTGAAAGGCGTTCTATAGGTAGCGAAATAAGAAGCCCTTCAATTTGCGCTACTCCATACAAAAAAGAATGAAGAAAGGAGTGTAGAGTGGAAGGCCTCTTGACTCTCAGGAAGGCCTTTCGGAACGGCTTTTAACTCCTGAAATTATCTACTGGGATATTTATTTGGCAACTCAATAGATTCAGAAATTCATATCAGTTTCACGGAAGATAAAAATTCAAACCGAATATGTAATATTTTTAAAAACCATAATCAGAAAACTTACATATCAGCTCCAACACCACTTCGGAAATCATGGCGACCATTTCGAAAGGCTCAGGATCTTCACCACTAGCGCTGCGCATATTTGCCGGTACAATTTCGCGCCACACCTCAGCAATGACCGCACGATGTTTGATGAAATTATCATCGCTGAATGATTCCTCAATGGGTTTATTCAAAAATTCAATTGTACGTTTCTTCATTTCTGCCGCACGATCGGACATAAAATACAGCTTTGCACATTTGCGCGAAACATACGCTTGCTTTTCGCGCAAATCCTCTAGACACCATTCCTCAAAAGTATCCAACCTACTCTGCAGCTCAGTGTATATGGATAGCGTAAAGTGCATTTCGAGCAACAATACAAAGGTTTTAATTTTCAAATTTTCTATGCCACGCATAAAACTCTCCGCATCGGGAAATACAATTAGTATAGGATGCAAATTTTGTAGATATACATCCTCATAATAGACCTTAATTGCCCACGCGTCGTCTTTGTCACGCTTACGTATATTTACAATATTGCGTTTGGCGATCGACTCTTCGAAGTTCTCCAATTCAATCACCACCCTTTCGCATTCTTTCCCATAGCCATTTTCTTCTTCTTCTTCCTCTTCCTCATCGCACTCGGAATCGCGCTGTACCGGTTGTTCAATGCGATGTATCCAATCGTTTTCGTAACGCCACTCCGAATCACCGAGCAAATAGTGAAAGTTTTGTAACATTATACGGCGAATCCAATGGCCTTCAATAAAAACAATGTCCATATTAAGCACAATTTGTTGGCGTTCTAATTCACGAAATTCACGCTTCAAAGCGTCTGTGCGGTCGTAATAGGATTTCACCTGGAAAAATCGAATGGAAAGCATCATTGCTTCGGATATCAAAACAAAGACGAATAGTGGAGAACGCGTTAGCGGAGGCGAGAGATATTCTTTGCAATAAGTCCAGGAATGAAAGAACTAGACTGACAAACCTCCTTAGGTTTACGGCAACCTAAAATCTTATTGTGGCTTCTAATCAACCTTTTTAAAGAGAAACGGAAGATTATTACAGGTATCGGTTACTCTGGGCCAATTACGGTCAATATATTGTAACCGCCTCAACAGCTACTTTTCCAGAATGAATGAATGAATGCCCGGTATATGGAGACCCCCACCGTCCCCATGACACAAACCCCCTCTTCACATGTCAGCGCTACACTACGCAGCGAACATCCCTCTCGCTGTGGTCCGACCCGTCGAAATACGGTCCGTTACAGTTCAGTTGTAAAAGTTTCGTATACCTTGGGAGGTTGGTCACGATGTCGGTGATGAGAGAAATGTGGGGTGGTCTACCTTCGTCCTGTTGCGTTTGCCGCAGTGGTTGTTGCTGCCTGGTGGGGGATGGACATCATCGCCACGTTCACGAACTCTCTCTCTCTCCTCAAATGCCGTCATCGAAGTTCAACCATCTCCTATAACAGAGAAAGTGCCTCGAGAGATCCGCGAACCCTGGGAAAACTACTGTCTGGATACACCAGGATGGTAAAACTCGTGCTTACATATTAATATTCGAACCTCATCCAAACCACATTTTCGAATGCCTTCTTAAACCCACTTAACTGAGCCTGTCTTTTTGGCCCGACGCCGTTGAAACACCTTTTTTCATGGGCCCAAAAAGGAGGGTTAAGTAGCCGCTTGGACAACGACAACCAGTAATTAGAGCCATAACTTTGGACGAGGCTGCAGCTCGATCGATCAGGGTCAGGTAATGTGCTAAAATCCAACAGACAAGTCCTAAAGCTACAGTCCGACAATTCTTCAATCGATAGATAAATTATGCGGATTAGAGAGCTCCCTGACAACTACGGTATGGGCAGCTTGTGGTAACAAGAAAAGGAGTCCCCTGCTTGAGGAAATCAATTGAAAGTATGTAAATGTACAGTGGTAAAAGCAATTAGAAAATTCGTAACGACTGTTGTTGTTGTTTATTTTTTAATTTGGTTGAGCCTTTGTGTGTTAACGTAATAAGTTTATTTGGTGTGAGTAAATAGGCAAACTAAACACACTTACCTTATGTACCACCGACGTGGCGGCTTCGTATTCACTTTTCTCCCACTTTGCGAAAAGCTTCTCATATAGTGACTTCAAAGTCAGCATATTCTCCCAATGGTGCTCGTTTAACCTATCGTAGATTTTCATACGCACTATTTGACCTTGTATGAGCATAGATTCGAATTTCAAACGCTGTGCATCCTTAATAAACGACCTGCCGCTTTTGAAATTGAACATTTTCACTGGTGGACGATTTTTCAATTCATCCACATAGTTTTCATCGATATCAGTCGTCACTACGCTGCGATACTTATGCGGTCCGTGGCCAATAAGTTTTTGACGTACATCTTCTACCGGAACCTCAAGGCGCAAACGCAAACCATTCCGTAGGCGCGTGTTGAATGTAAAGAAGCTATCTTTAGGTGTGCTCAATTTCAACTGCGCCTTGCGCTGTCCCGCAAAGGGGAGCACCACAAAAGGATTATTTTCTTCAGCCTCGATATCGAGTGGCTCCAACTTGAAGCGACAACGATTCAACGCTTCGAATGGCACCACTGATTTGCGTATATAGTCGAGTGGAATTTTCGTTTTGCCTTCCATTAGCAGAAAACTGCCACTGTCGTTCGTTAGATTCGTGCACACAGAGCTACTAAGCGAGGTCAGACACGTCTCAATACTTTTAAGATCCTCTTCTATTTCTTGAACTATTTCGTCACGATTGACAGTAAATATCTGGCCCTCATCTTCGTTCACTTTGGTTTCATAAAGCGCCTTGCGCACTTCATGTAAGAATTCCAAATACTCTTTGCGTCCTGGATAATCGAGTTCTTCGAAATCTTCAGCTGGACGACTGTGATAGTGGAAGTCGCGTGGCTGACACAGATCTTTAATGTGAAGAGTGTTATCGGCAACTACGTGCTTCCAAGACTTCTGCAGGTAGTTTTCGACCATTTCTTTTGTATTCCATTTGGGCATGGTCAAATCCATCTCAACAAATTGATTGCAGGGTGGTTGCGCCATGCGAAAATTGTCCATAACCACGCTCTCTTCTTTGCTCTTACCCTTCGTCACTTGAGCCTTGATAATCTTAGGCTGATAGTGTACATCCACCGGTTTCTGTTGCATATAATCCCAGTGATCGTGGTGATGGCGCGCCTCGAACAATTTCGAATAATCACGCTTCTTCACGTCCCGCAAATTGTTGAAGTGTATTTCGTCGGGACTAAGTTTGACCAAATCCGGCTTGTGTACCGCGGCGACGGTCTGGTCGAATAGTAGTGAAGGTACGCGCTCGTTAAGGTAGTCACGTGGCTTTCGCGGATGCCGACGTATGGTTGTTTCTCGATACCTGGGCGCAGGCATATTACCTCGCATGTCCATTGGTACTCTAACGCTTTTGGCTAGCTTTGCGCGCCTATTCTCTTCCTGATCCACTAACTCCGGCTCCGGTTCCGGTACCCATTCAGGATCTGAATCTGTGTCCGATTGCTCGCATTTTGTTTGCAATCTGGACTTTTTCACCACGTAACATGGTATGCCAAGCAATTTGAGACGCTTCTCTTTTATTTGCGCCTTGTGCTGTTTTTTTATTTTATCCTTCGCGGCCATGTATTCGAGCGTTGTATTCAAATTCATCAAATCGAGTTCATCACCCTGCTGTGCCGACTGCGATTTCTCACTCTGCTGGTTTTGCGCTCTTTCGTCATAGAGAAAACGTATCAGATTAAACTTCTTCATTGGATACTCGAGACGAGGTCGTACAATTCTAAACTTTTTACGCAAGTCACGTTCATAGTGACGTCCCAACCGCTTTTCGATGTACTCGCGTACGGCGCTACTCTTTATTTTCGGCAGTTTATAACCGAATTGTGGCAGAAAGATTTTGAGCAGGGGATCATCGGGCTCACGCAATTTCGGTATGCCCTCTTCAATGTCCAGCCTAATGGCTTCCTTCTTCGGCGCCAACTCCGCCAACCACCGTTCACGCGTCTTGCATGTCTTCTCTTTGCGCGTTCCGCCGGCCTTCTCTGTCTGGTGTTGCTTGCCGCGCAAGCTTTCGCCCAGCTTGAAGTGGAAGCCACGCAGCTTATAGTTGCTACCATACTTACCCACTTCAATGTCGTCCTCGTCATCGCTAGACTGTTCGCTGAGCTCTGTGCGTTCAGAGCTATGTTTTGGAGTATCGCTGCTAATCTCCAGCTTTGCTTCCGGGTAGTCCTTCAACTTGCCGAAATTTTTCAAAAAATATTCCTTTTTAACAAGGGCTTTGTCGCGTTTAATACGATTTTCCGCCTTCAATACCTTCTTGAACTGCTTTGTTTCGCGCAGCGTATGGGGAAAACCCTGTACTGGCTTTGGCGATTTACGCACCAGCCCTTCTATTTTAATATCGGGGTCGCATGCTGCATCTATGCTATCTACCACTTCAGTGAAATGCTTCTTCGCCAGCATTGTGGGTTTGAGCTCCTCATCAACTTTGTCTTGCCGTTTTTTTGCGTATTGTTCTTGCTCTGCGAGCTCTTTACGCCGCAAATAGAGCGTCTTGTAACGATCACGGCGGTTTCGGCTTTCTTCTGCTATTTTCTCTTGATTGTATGGCTTGTCGGCCGAGCGGAATAATTTACAAAACGGCAGAGGTGGTTCACTGCTTGGCTCCTTCTCTTCCACGGTGCGATCCGGCACCTCAAAGCATTTAGGCACTGTCAGGCGTTCATTTAACAATTCTCCTTCTACTTTATCCTGTATGTCCTGTTTGACACGACGTCGCTCCATGTGACGCACTATACTGCGATATAAGCTCTGATTTTGTACATCCTGTTCGTCGGCCTGATAGGTTTGTTGATAATCAAGGCCTTGAAAGTCCAGTTGCATAGGGTTCTCCAAGTCTTTTTGGTCGCAAATAAATGACTCTGATGATTGCGACCGCGTCTCGCCACAAACATTGTCTGCATATTTAACTGACTTTGCCAATATATTGAATTCACGCTTCTCTGAGAAAGCCTTCGTACGCAATGCCTGTGGATTAACCAAGCAATACTTCTTGCGCGGATCTCGAGTGAGAAAGAATTTTTGGCGCGTACGTGATAGTTTTGCAAACGCTTCGAAATTTATCGGGCAAGTGCCGACAAAGGGTTTTGGCGCACCAGCTACAACGCTCTCCCGACATGGTTTCTTCCATTCGGGACCGCGAAAATTCGTGCGTTTGGCACCCGACTCCTTATGTTGTGAATCGATCATTTCTTGTGAGGTGACTAACTGTTCATCTGACAGCCTCGGTGGCGTTGTTGTTGAATTTATGGTTAGATAGCTGCTTTTTGGCTTGGATGAGGTGGATGCGCTCGAGCATCTGCGTTTGAATTTCTTCGGCGCTGCTATAATCAAATTATCAAAATGTGAGTTTGTGGAACTTGTAAAATCGTAGCCGCGTTGTTTTCGGGGTGGGGTTGTTGTGGGGGACTCTTGCTCAGACAACCGTAGCTGGATATTTGCTACGTTAATCAGCGGTCTTGTTGGGTCACCATATTTAACGGCACTAGCAACTAGGCCCCATTTATCTTTGGCTGCAGCCTGTTGGTCACATATTTCATATTTAATTTTGTTTGTGCATTTTGCAGTTGTAGATGACGATGCTGCGTGTCTCTTTAAAAATTCTTGACGCAAACTCATCATAGACTTATCACTGGCGTCGCTCAACTTAAGCTCCTGCATCGATGGCCTCGGGCGTTTATAGTAATCCGATTTTTTTGTTGTTGGCATGGTGCTTCAAATATGTAGATAGAAAAAGTTTACATTTTTTAATTTTAACAAACTCATAAATAAACAATTCTTTCCTTCTATTATTTTATTCAGAAGATCATAAAAAACCATGATTCAATAATTGAATCATGGAAAAAAGCTACTTACAAAACCTTTAATAATTGAATCATGATAAAAAACCATTATTTCCTTCAATTATTCCATTCTGACAGTAAAGGCGAAAATACTTATTATGTAAGTGTTATTTAAGATAATTTTGAAAACGCTTAAACAAAGTAAAGTATTAAGCTAAACCAAATGAGATTGAAACTTTATTTACATATGTATCTAAAAAGCTGCTGGGGTATCGAATACCAACAAACGAATAACAAAGAGTAGTGATATTGAGAAAAAGATATTACCGCGACAGCCGACTCTAAGTACTGGAATGACTTGAGCTTTTCCCTAACAAGCACAGTTGTGTCGGCGACCTAATCCCATTTTGTTTGGCGACCTAATCCCGTTTTGTTCTGCGGACCCCATCAAGGGCTTTGACCCCAACCCCAGAAATCTGCGACAGCCAACGGCGACTTCACCCGAACTCTACTTTGGTTAGATGCAACACCTGTAACGGATAGAGTCATCTAAGCACCTTCTCAGGCCTTGGGTCTCACAGGGAGTGGGCCACAAGCTTTGTGTTCCCTGTTTCTCAAGCCATTCGGTATTATCCGCCTCCATAACCACCAGCTCGCATAACGCGCAGATGCGAACTAGCACTCAGAGAGCCTGCATGGCTCCAAGAAGCTCACAGGAGCCACAGTCAAACGCGATGACATAGGTGAACTACGCAGAGGTGAAAGCCGAATGGAATAAGGTGATTTCAGCGCACACAACAAACTTTGGACCACCGAACCTATGTCAACTTTAACAAAGCTGATTGGAATGGCATCGCGGAAGTTACTCAGAGTAGCTTCACCGCCTTTTCCATAACCGCAAATGTATATGCTGGCGAACGCCGCAGCTGCTCGCTTCATTCTATCTGTACGCATCGCGGAAGTCCAGCCAAAGTAACCGGCAAAAACGGCTGTTCTCGCAAATGAGTGTGACCTCATACGACAGGTCGATCCGGAGGATCCTCGCCTAAGGGGTCGTCAGTTGGAGATTCAGCAAGTGGTAAACCAAAATTAACGGAAAAAGTGCGAGGAGCTTTTGAAGACCTGCATTTTTGTCTATGGTGTGAGTAAGCTCAGGTCAACCGTGAGGTCCTGCCTGGTGTAGGAAAGCTAATTCGATGGTCACGCCTCGTCGAGCCCGAAGAAATGCGCGGGCCATTTTAGCCAGCAATTTGCATGCATTCTACGGTAGATAAGGCCAAGCGGCGGCTGATCAGGAGGCTGCACAAACTGCCCAAAAACAATGACTTACTTTCAGCGGCGGTGCGGTCCAGGTGGTCATCGGTAAGGCGAAAACCTCCAAAGGCATTGGACACGACGAAATTTGCATACTGATGTTGAAACATTTGAGTCCTGCGGGCGTAGCATATCTCAACTTGTAAATGGCCACTATCATCACTCCCGAAATGTGGAAATTGGGGAAAGTGGTCCCACTTCTGAAACCGGGGAAACCAACTAACAAAGGAGAGTGTTACCATCCGACAACGCTCCATTCCCTGTTCACGAAGACACTTGAGGCCTTGCTAATTCCACACTTCACATACCACCTGACCTTTTTAGATCAAACAGCAAAACCTAGCAGATTTAAGCGAGGGATTCCACAGGGTGGTGCCTTCTCCCCCCTCCTGTTTAACTTTTATATCTCGAAGCTCTCTCTGCTCTGCTCTCGAAGCTCCCTCTGCTCTGACCGATTTTACCTGATCTTATATGCTGACGACTATTTGATATTGGCGTCAGGGAATGGAACTGATGACCTCTGTATGAAAGCAAACGGCTATCTCCCCAAACTTTCTCGCTTATTCACTGCAAGGAGCATAACCCTCTCTCCAACGACCACCTCGGCTTCAACTAGGCATTCACCCAACTCAAACATTTTTGGGGTTACCTTTGATAGCCTGCTTTCCTTCTCCGCGCACACAACCGCAATTGTCAATAGAGTACAGAGCTGCAAGGAAAAAGAAACGTTTCTGAGAACATACAAGGAAATTGGCCGGCCGGTTCTAAACTATGTAGCGCCCGTGTGGTATCTGGGGACTAGCAGGACGCAGTGTACGCAACTGCAGACATGCCAAAACATGGCACTCTGGACAGTAACTGGATGCCTTCTGTTGTCGCCTGAGCACCATCTTCTCTGAAATCAGTATCCGGCATGCGCACAGTCCCCCCACGACACCAACCACCTCTCCACATGTCGGCTCAATCCAACTCAGCTAAACCCCCTCTCTTTTTGGTCCGAACTCGTCGAAATAGCTCTTTTCGTGGGCGTACCGTTAGTTGAGCTTGACGACAACGATTGATGGACAAACCGACCTAGGCGGGGTTTAGTTATAAACTTTAGATGTAACACTTTTTAGCATTTTAAGTGCATCGATGACGAGTTTATCGCAGAAGATGTGTGGCACATGTACCAGCTGTTATGTCCAACTTGATTAGAATATCTGTGTGCTTTGCCATTGCATGGGACAGGTGAAAGCATTATAACTAAGTGCTGCTATTCGGAAAACTCGTGGATTCGTTCCTGGTTACGTGTTATCTTCTCGAGGATGCTATACTCTTGTAAAGTGGTCTTAAAATTAACCCCTTTACTAAGGGCTGCCTCGGTATCAGAGAGTACATCGAGAAAACTCTTTCTTCGTTGTGGTTATTCATTGTTGATAAGTTCAATAATCTACATAGTTCCTATCGACGACTGCTTGAGTTGTCAAGCTTTGCAGTATATATGTGTATGGGAGATCTCAAAATTTCCACCTCACCAGCGCCTATAGCCACGGTTAGGCACCCGTTACTTCCTAATGGGGGACAGCAGAGTTTTCCTCCCGGATGAAAATCGTTCAATAAGCACGATTTCGCATAACACTCTGGTTTTGAAATTCGTCTAAGCGCCAGCACTGCATCAAGATGTCGCCCTAGCAGAGAACATTGCTGAGCGCCTGGGTATATCGTGTCCACAAATGATTAAGCTTCAGTGAAAAGATTAATCGACTCGGCATGCATGCGTGGCCACCGTCAGGGGTTTCTTAAGGGAATTTCCATGTTGCTACAGCCACAACAATGAGTGCACAATATCGCTACAACAACAACAACAACAATGCACAATGAAAATCAGATTTTTTTTCGATAGCGCCTATGGCAATTTTACATATTCTGTCGAAGATTTTATTAAACCAAAAACCCATTATTGATGCTTTTCAGATTTCACCTCTCGGCTTTTAAGATATCACCTCTACCATTCGAAATTTACCAAACATTTATACCTTCATATAATCAGAAATGGATGTTTATACTAGGTTCACATATAAGTAGATTATCCTAATTTTCGAGCTTAACACCCTAATCTGTAATTATAACAAGAGATTAGCCATATAAAATTCGTCCCTTGTTAATCTGTAATTATAAAACATGATTCAATAATACAAGGTTCGATAAACTGACAGTTGTCTCTCTCGCACCGCTCCCTTAGCAGTGGCACCGTGTTGCTTCTTTGCAAATTTACATGGAAACAGTGTAGCTTTGGTGTGAAATAAAAGTATACGCTTTTGTGCAATATGTTTATTTGTATATGCATATGAAGCATATTTAACTGATGAAAACATAAGCATTGGATGTTTACATCAGTCTCATAGTAGTCTTATTTTAATTTTGAGTCATTTTGCAGTTTTTATACGGCTAAATAGCATATAAATTATGTAATTCACGTAGATATATCAATATTACGTTCAACATTTCGTTTAAAATGCCAGATTTCCTGCAAATACATTAGAATTTACGAAAGGAATTTCACTACTAATTGCCTACTTTGCGTACTTTTCTACTACCATTTTCGAAGAAAGGGATTGCATTCTTGCCCTTTCTCTGTCCTTTGTAAATGCAACCTTTTGTAAGGGAGTGTCAAACCGCAGCAGTCAATAATTATCTAACCTTGTATTATTGAATCATGATTATAAAATAATCTCAGATTTAACCGATAAATTTTCGGTGTCCATCCTAGTTTTATCGATTGTTTTTGCGAAAGAGAGGAGAAATGCCAAATGTAAAAGTACACAAAAATGTACGCTAGCAAGTAAAAGAGGTTTGTAAAGGTATTTTTAATAAAATGTTAAGTTAAAATATATTTATATTGCTTATTATAGCAGAAAAACGTGATCACGGGGGCACAGAGAAGAAACATAACTTTTCCTTGAGATGTGAGAATAACAAGCACAACAAATTTGACGGCTAATAATCTGAGATTTGCCTGTGTAAACGGGGTGATTAAAAAATGAGCTTTGATTAAGATAATATTGATATGTGAACATAGTTTTACTCACGTCCGGAATGTTATGATCCTGTTTCCGCTACGGAATTCCAGTACAATCCGGAAAGGCTTTACAAATTGCAAAAATGAACTATTCACAATGAAACGTCTTTCCGAAGCATGATCCAACTAATTCTAAGAGCGCGGTTACCCACTACCGTGTACGTAGCGTAGCGTAGAAGTACGTAGAGACATATAAAGTTTGCTGTTGATAGAAAGAGAGATATGCTACGTCTACGTCACGGTCATGCGGTGGTGCGTTTTTGTTAACACGCAAATCCCATAAGATAGATCGTGTCAGCTGACAAGTTCTCCGTTTTTACTTCCGTGGGTAATTGCGCTTTAAATCTTTAATGTTTCCGAAGGAAATTCAAACTAGGGGCCTTCACACCGAGCTTGAAATTCGGTAATAGGTTCTTTCCCCTACGCAACGCGGGATCCCGCGGGTGCCCAAAACACCCCAGAAATCATCCCCGTACTCAACAAAATGGGTAATAGGGAGCGAAATTTGGAACGTATTAAATCGTAGGTGTCTTCTTCTTCCTGGCCGAAAC